TTAATTTTTTTTTATTTTTTTATTTTTGCTGTGCATATGAAAATACAACATGCATGGGGTACCCCAAAGGCAATCCTCATGCATTTAGTTTTAAAACTGTTATAACAGTTGTGATGATACATGCACATTTTTATGGTGAGTATATAAGATTATTCATATTGTATGCAGCTTAGTGTTATATACAGGGAGTGCAGAATTATTAGGCAAGTTGTATTTTTGAGGATTAATTTTATTATTGAACAACAACCATGTTCTCAATGAACCCAAAAAACTCATTAATATCAAAGCTGAATATTTTTGGAAGTAGTTTTTAGTTTGTTTTTAGTTATAGCTATGTTAGTGGGATATCTGTGTGTGCAGGTGCCTATTACTGTGCATAATTATTAGGCAACTTAACAAAAAACAAATATATACCCATTTCAATTATTTATTATTACCAGTGAAACCAATATAACATCTCAACATTCACAAATATACATTTCTGACATTCAAAAACAAAACAAAAACAAATCAGTGACCAATATAGCCACCTTTCTTTGCAAGGACACTCAAAAGCCTGCCATCCATGGATTCTGTCAGTGTTTTGATCTGTTCACCATCAACATTGCGTGCAGCAGCAACCACAGCCTCCCAGACACTGTTCAGAGAGGTGTACTGTTTTCCCTCCTTGTAAATCTCACATTTGATGGTGGACCACAGGTTCTCAATGGGGTTCAGATCAGGTGAACAAGGAGGCCATGTCATTAGATTTTCTTCTTTTATACCCTTTCTTGCCAGCCACGCTGTGGAGTACTTGGACGCGTGTGATGGAGCATTGTCCTGCATGAAAATCATGTTTTTCTTGAAGGATGCAGACTTCTTCCTGTACCACTGCTTGAAGAAGGTGTCTTCCAGGAACTGGCAGTAGGACTGGGAGTTGAGCTTGACTCCATCCTCAACCCGAAAAGGCCCCACAAGCTCATCTTTGATGATACCAGCCCAAACCAGTACTCCACCTCCACCTTGCTGGCGTCTGAGTCGGACTGGAGCTCTCTGCCCTTTACCAATCCAGCCACGGGCCCATCCATCTGGCCCATCAAGACTCACTCTCATTTCATCAGTCCATAAAACCTTAGAAAAATCAGTCTTGAGATATTTCTTGGCCCAGTCTTGACGTTTCAGCTTGTGTGTCTTGTTCAGTGGTGGTCGTCTTTCAGCCTTTCTTACCTTGGCCATGTCTCTGAGTATTGCACACCTTGTGCTTTTGGGCACTCCAGTGATGTTGCAGCTCTGAAATATGGCCAAACTGGTGGCAAGTGGCATCGTGGCAGCTGCACGCTTGACTTTTCTCAGTTCATGGGCAGTTATTTTGCGCCTTGGTTTTTCCACACGCTTCTTGCGACCCTGTTGACTATTTTGAATGAAACGCTTGATTGTTCGATGATCACGCTTCAGAAGCTTTGCAATTTTAAGAGTGCTGCATCCCTCTGCAAGATATCTCACTATTTTTGACTTTTCTGAGCCTGTCAAGTCCTTCTTTTGACCCATTTTGCCAAAGGAAAGGAAGTTGCCTAATAATTATGTACACCTGATATAGGGTGTTGATGTCATTAGACCACACCCCTTCTCATTACAGAGATGCACATCACCTAATATGCTTAATTGGTAGTAGGCTTTCGAGCCTATACAGCTTGGAGTAAGACAACATGCATAAAGAGGATGATGTGGTCAAAATACTCATTTGCCTAATAATTCTGCACTCCCTGTAGAGTAGTGATAATCAGACGTTAAGCTCAAGCTGGTTGGGCGTCAGCATAAACAATAATATTACATCTAAAGTCAAAGCTATAGTGAGAGGTTATTCTCTCCATCAAAAGTGTGGGTGAGCGTGTGTATGCTATACTTTACTCAAGGTAACAGTGTCCACACTAGAGTTGTCAGAGTCCAGACCGTTAATGGGCTTCAGGAGATGGGCTGGTGAGTGTGTGCTTAGCCGTCCTCAGCCAATGCCTCTTGCATGCCGCCGTGGAGAGTCTGGTTCCCGGTCAGCTTTAGCAGTGCTCCTCTCCGATGAGCGGGAGTTGCACTGCTCGTGGTGCAGGCGCTGTGTGTAGCGTGATAGGTCCCTGTCCCTTCGGCTCCAGGCTGTTAAGGGAGCTGGCGCCCTCTGTCCATGGATCCTCCTCCGTCATGAGGCAGGATCGTGGGTGCCCAGGGTTTCCGGCTTCCGGTCACCCCTGCGGGTAGTTGGACTGCGGCCTGAAGATTCCTCCAGTTGGGCTCCCGGCCCAGAAGGTGTCCGCTGCTGGTTGACAGGTAGGTCCCATCTTGGGAGGGGTAGGCAGGGGTTCACGTTGGGCAATGCGGTCCCAGAAGGCTTGACAGCGTCAAACCGTGCTTCGAAGGCCTCCCTCCAGCTCTGGTCTGTCTGGCTTGCTGGGCTGCGCTGTGATTGCGATGCGGCGGCGGCCATCTTGAGGTACAGCGTAGCTCACCAAGTTTTCCTGCAACGGCCTCTTGGCTATAGTTTTGTGTGTTTCAGGCGCCCTGTGTGGACCGGGATATCCCCCACCGGTCCGGGGTGGGGGGAATTGGGAGGTTAGAGCGGTCTGTGAGCCTGTTCTCTAGCGAGGAGAGTGGCCGCCTCTCCCCGTTTCGGTTCCAGGTAGGCCTCTGCAGATTTTCAGGGTTCCTGGTTTGTGACATGCATGAGTCGGGTGTCAAAGGGTTTCCCCGGGTGTCCCCTCCTTGCTTGTTTTCCTCCAGGCAGTGGATGTGCTTGATTTTTGGGGGGGGTTTCCTCCAGAAAAGCAAGTTTGGTCAGGAGCTTGGTTTCTGCATGTCTGCTCAGCCTGGAAGCTAGGCTCCGCCCCCCTACCTGTTGACTTTTGAATGGGGATCCTACCCTAGGACTGATTTGCTTTTATTTAATGATATACATATGAATATATATTTTTACGATATCTGTGTTTTGTTGTAAATTAAAAAGTGATATGCAATATTCATGCTAAAACAGCATGCCCTCCAACTGTCCACTTTAGTTCTCTAGTGTCCTGCATCTGGGGACACCAGAGAACGGTCCCCGAACAGCACAGAGCAAGCACATCAGTAGATGCATTCCCGATGTGCAGCGGGTACTAGGACTATGCAGGGAGCACTTTAAAAGTGTCATCTGGCCCGGGTAGCAAGGGGCCATCCAGGATGCTTGTCAGGTGGCATTTCCATTCTTTCTAGGGCTCACCCACCCCCTTTTTGGATGAGACTATCCTCTCTCAAGTGGATATGCCCACTGTGGGCATCTCTAGTGATAAGCCTCACGTTGCTAGTGACGGCGCCTTCAAACTCCGCACCCCTGTTCAGATTTACAGACAGATACAGATGAGCAGGCGCTAACACGCATGAACGACAAATGAAGTGTGCATTACACCTCCCCATAGCACAGCATTGAATTTATGCATTTTTATGGGGAAAAATCTGCAGAGCATGAGGGCGTCCAGCGTCAGTTACCGGATTAAAGGTCTGTTATGATGCAGGAAGCACCTCTAGTGGAAACCACTGGAGTTCTGGAACAAAAATGTTTTACATTGCACTCAGACCACTTCAACAAGCTGAAGTCGTCTGGGTGCCTACAGGGTCCCTTTAAATTCCTCTTTCTTTCCAGACAGCCTGAAGGCTGCTGCTTTGATTATCCAACATCTGCAATCTCACAATGTGTATTACCCATTGTATACCATTGCATTTCTCTAATTGTAACTGATATATTTTTATTTTTTTTTACTGCTAGCTTGGACTCTGCACCAATTACTTTGGTTGTAATTTACAACCCAAGATAGAGAAATCCTAAACAGAAACTTTGTATTAAGAAACGTCTCTTCTCCCACCACACACACACAATTGAGGTTATTCAATAAATTCTGCATTAAACTTAAAATTAACATTAAATCCCCACATACATCAAAATTGCATGTGAAATGTTATCTTTCAGGCCATACTTAAATATCTATCTATATATATGTATATATATATATATATATATTTTTTTTTTTTTGTATTAAAAAGGTAGATCCCCATGTTAAAACTACAGATTTCATAATGCTTTGTCATTCTAAAGGCATGCAAAACATCATTGGAGTTGTAGTTCTACAACATCTGGGGATCTACCTTTGGGGCACCCGTGTGTTAGAGTCTGGAATAACAAAAGGATCACTGGCCACTGTGACAAAGTCAATATCCATATAACTGGCTGTGACAAACTGCCCTTTTCATGTGAGTTTGCCACGAGCTCCTGGAGGAGCTTGCCTGCCAGCCTCCTGCCCACAGACTATGGGCCCTGCAGGGAAACCTGTAAAAGACTAGTTAACTGGCTTGGTTCCGAACAGGCGTACGAACCATGACCACCTGGGAGCTCGTTAAGCCTAATTGACAGTTTGTAACACATTCCACAGCAGTGTTCTAATTGTTTGCCTGGGTGGCCGCTGTTCGCATGAACGACCACGAGGTGGCGGCCATCTTGTTCACATGAATGCAGGCAGCGGTGTTTGGTCGTTGAGTTCATGGAACTAATATCTTAAACAGAAACTCCCGAACGCCGCTGTTGGGGAAATCAAACCAAGCGTTTGATGATATCCTGATTATTTGCCCCTGTCCAGATTAAAAGGATTATACTGTGTGCACGCTTCCCAAGTAATTCACTCCGGACACAAAGTTCTGGTTAATGAATCAGCTGAGGAATGTTTATTTTCGGGGGTTGGACCCCCTTATAAAGCACTAATACATCATATGCATAATTACAGATAACAGAGAAGAATACATCAACAATTGGTTAGGTGTTAAGTGGTTTTAGTCAAAGCACGTCCTACTGATCATAACGTCATGCCGTGGGACTAGTGTCATAAAGTTCTCCCCCAGATTCCAGCGCCATCTTGTATACTGTCGACGGGAGGGGTAACTCATAGCGGCCATTTTGAGTATGTGGGTTTAGTTAGTTTAATGAAGTAAATAGGTATTTTACTAAATTGTCTATTATGTCGTTACCACCGCTGGACTTCCATCATCGCCTGCATTTGGTTCTATACGACTTAGAAAGGCACTGTTCAGTGGAAACGTTCCCACAAACAAGCTCCAGGGTAGAACTATGGATTCCGTTTGGTAGTTTGTTTGTTTTTAAACTACTGAACTTGACCAACCGTTAGCACTGATTTCATGGAACTGTTTTGTGCATAGGACCATGTGCACAGTCGGTCAAAATTATGACCTTCAGGGAAAATCCGAAACCCCTGAACCGATCTGGGTGATTTTTGGATATGTTGGTCACCCAGGGGCTATCAGGGGATGTAACTTTTGTGGGGTCTTTATGTGTTTTAAAGGTATTTTGGGGGTTTTGTTATATTGTATGTTTTTCTGTGCCTGGAAATAATTGAGTTAGTTCAGTTCCTGAGGAGGAGTTTGTAACTAGTACCCTTTCAGGTCCAGGAGAGGGATTATCCTGTTTGTGTGGGAGAAATGGCCAAATTAAAACATTCCAGCTTTCACTCCCTGAACTATGTGCCATCTGGTTACTGGGAGGGGAAAGTGCCCTATTCTAGTGTGGAGGATTCGAGGGAAAAGTCCTTGTAAGGACTAGAGCTCCCAGGACTGAGTCCAGTGGCAGGGCTTGGATAGAGCGAGTTCCCCATGTGGTTCCAGGACCCTAGTCAAGCTATGGCGACTGTGGGCAGAAGTGCTGTGGTTTGTCCCTTGTTCCACCTAGGAAGCGGTCCTTGGCGGAGGTAAAGGGAGCTCTGTTAAACTGGCCCTTCAAGATATCCTAACGATCTATGAAAAGAGCCCAGTGCCCTGGAAGTTGGACAACCCCACATTTACATTGTGATACAGGTTGGAGCAGTCATTGAGTAGCAGGAACAGCATCCAGCTTCTGCAGTCCTACAGAGGCCAGATGTTGTAAATCTACCTACAAATAAGATCAGGAGCCCAGCAAATCCAGGTAAAAAAGTCAAACCATTACAAAATGGTTGCCCTATTACCAGGGAACAGGGCCAGAGTACTTTTGACATCACAACCATTACAGGAGGCGTAGTGGTTTTGATGGTTGGTGAAACCTTATGCTTTACAAGAAGCATACCTGACCTGGAGAATGTTTACCCTGTGCACATCTGGTCTTCCCCATAGGAAAGCATTAACATAACCCTTTTCTCAGTGACTCTCCATTCTTAAAACAGGTTTGCAAAAGGTACATTTCTTTGCAAGTAAGTTTTGTGAATGGGAAGTCACTGATTGGACAACAGTGTCAGCTGACCGTTTTCAGACAACAACGTGCCCTGACTGGCGTTATTCAGTGAAATTTCAGAAGCCAGATGTCACACTGGAGGCAACTCAGGGGTTAAACAGTTTATGCCCTGAGGTAAGATTTATCCCAAGGGAATCCGAACACCATAAGAATTTCATTTGTTGTTATGGTGCCTAGACTATCCCCTTAACACTGCAAAGTAAACATTGTAGTTCTTCTAAAACTGTAATGTTACATTGCAGTGATAGGGGACCAGGGACACTGTACCCAGATCACTTCAATGAGCTTAAGTGGTCTGAGTGCTCGTAGCCCTTTAAAATATAAAATTCAGTGTGAATTTCAGATAT